GGGGGGGGACTAAACTGGCAGAAGGAGGACACGGCAGAAGTGCATCTTACCATACTTATAAAGATCTAAAATGCGCCTACCCTCGTCGAGTTCAACCTCATAAGGCGCCGGGCGGCGCTTTACCCTGTTGCTGGGGTACATGCTGTACTGCTCCGACTCTCCTCCGAGACTATGTCAACAGAAAGGAGACAAAAGGTGCACAGGTACATTAGGGCACATGAATTCCACTGTACACAGTTTCCTTCATTGCTTCTAAAAGATCTAATGCTCTCCACTCATTGCAGCAGGACACACACACACACACAAACACACACACACATCTGTCACATATGCACATGCTCAATAATGTAAACATAACGTAACCTCAGTAATACAAAAAGCATCTTGTCCCCTATCCTTTTATAGAAAGGCATAATTGTGTCTAATAACCATCAAACTTTCTATGTGCATTCATGAAACTGTATGTTTTTTGTTTTGATTCCCCCCCCCCCCTTCCTTCAGCCTTTACCTGTTGATGGCGGCGAGAGGCTGTGCCAGGTTGTAGAGCATCGCCCGCGCTGGGACAGGGAACGCGTTTGGGCTCAGTTGGACCATTCGAGCGTCGTCTCGTTGCGGCGGCGGCAGCGGCAGCGGTGGAGGTCTGCGAAGTTCCGTGATCGGCACCAAATGGCTCTCAGTCCTCTGTTGCACCGCTTTTATAGCGTCCCCCCTGGAGAGCTCGATCACCGGCACTTCCCTTTTCAGGTCAAGGGCGTTGTGAGAGGCAGTTTCCTTGGCAACGCCGTTGATGATGATGCTGATGCTGGTCCCGTTGTTCGAGTTCTGCAGAGGAACGTCATCCGTCTCCTCAACCCCCTTGAAGCTCCCTCCCCTCTCCTCCTCCTCATCATCCTCCTCTTCTTCCTCCTCCCCCTCCTCTCTCCTCGGCTCCCCGTCCTCCTTGCATCCGTTCTGTCTGGAGATGATGGCGGAGTCCTCCCGTTTATTAGGACCGGACCCTGCATCGGGACTTTCGGGACAAAGCTCCTGTTGCCGCTTTTCCATCATTTTTATGCCGTCACCACTCGCTAGAGTCCACTACGTCCTAAATGAGATTTCCCTCGATTAATCCATAGTTCAGTGCATCGTTTGTGGCAAAATGTCAGATATAACCACGCATTTGCTGTCCACGCAAGCCTAAAGAAAATTAACAATAAAACATCATCACCGAGCTATTATCCTGGCTCGTATCCTTATTCAAAGTACTGTTCTTAAACTGTAAATGATATGAATACTGTAAAGCTTAAATTAGCAAATTGAATTAGCAATTAGATGACCCCCCCTCAGGTGACACAATTTATTCTACATTTTTCAAATTGAATAAGAAAAGGTCAAAGATTTTCCTGTGATATTGTTCCATGACAAAGAAATAACTCGGCACTCTATGACCATCACATTCAAACATCTCGCAGTTTTCCAGGATCAAACCATTATTTCTCAAACTATCCAAGGTGAGAGTGTTTTCAAGCTAAATAGAAACACGATGAATTCTTTTCAGGGCTCACTGGATTTTATTTTGTTTGAAATTTCCACGGTTGATTATTTTGTCACCATTTAATTTACAGCTGCAGGTGTAACCCGTTATTGTATTTATTTTATTAGGAGTCTTGTCTGCTCCTGTTTGTTTTATTGCTATTATGAAGCTCTTATCAAACGCTTGCATGGCCTTCACTGCTACAGTTAAGGCGTTACGCCTATATCTTACAGGGACGTTAGATGTCCGCGTTAATTATAAGATCGGATATTAGAAGCATCATTTTCGCGGAGGAAAGCTGTGGATGCGAGGACTAAAAGGAAGGTTGATAATGACCACTATTCGTCGAAGTTAAAAAAATAAGAAAAATAAAAATCCACCTTTCTGCTTTTCCTTCCTCCCCTTGCAAATGAAAAATAATAGTCCAAAAAATGCTCGAACGGGATCGTTTTCACGCGCAAAGAATTAATAGCAGGTTGTCTAATTTTTTTTTTTGTTTTGTTTTATCGAGGGTAAGGCCATATTAGTGCTGGTGTTAACACCGAACATCAGGAGTTTCCCACAATGACCAGTTTCAGGTGTTTCAGATGTAACTCATTTGATAAATTTCCTGGAAATGTTTTTCCTTTTAAACGAACGGCAGACGGAAAATTAAAAAAGAAAACGCACCATAATTTCTGGGAATTCTCCAGCAGGCCTCGCATCCGTTATTTCATGCCGTAGACTCCAACCATCCGATCGGACAATAGCAGAAAATATAGGCTAAAAATGTCGCTCATTACAGCAATAAAACCAAGACGTACGCGCTCAAATTACCGCGTACAGAGCGAAAAATGCGCTGGTTTAAATGAAGAGATGTGTTTTTGGGGGGACTTACCGTTCCAGCCGTGTTGTTGATGTTACTGTGTAAGTGGAGCCATTTTGTGAGTGGGTCATCCATGTCTGAGGTTTTTCTTTTTTTTTCTCTCTCTACCAGTTGTGGAGTAGTGTGTGTATGTGTGTGCGTGTGCATATGTGTGTATGCGTATGTGTGTAGCTGAGTTATTCCTCGCCGCATCCAGTGCGCTCCCTCAGTATGGGGAGCGGAACACAGGCCGCAATGTGGCCGAGTGAGATAAGCGCACGGCAGCGGCCTCTTCATTCCCGATAAGCCCCTAAACCCATTATTTATGAAATGATTCATTATTATTTGGCTGTCGTGGGCTATATAGTCTTGTGGAGGGCAAAGCATTTAAAAAAAAAGAAGCAAACAGGCACAGCGCAACGGCCTGTATCAACGTGAGGTGGTGTAGTGTAGCCTGAGCTACAGTTGAGGTGTTTTAATTTTAATTTTTTATTTTTTTACGCAATAAACAAAAGCTCAGGTTAAGCTTTTGACCTATTTATATTTTCAACAAAGGTTTTTTTTTCCGCTAAGCTCATTTATCCTGCAATAAGATAACTGATAATAACAGAGGGCCCTCTACCTTTTTTCTTTTTGTATTATTTATATTATTTTATTTTTTTTTGTTCAGTTTATTCTGCCCATTAATCCATATCCATTTCTGCGCCCCAAGGATGAATGCGCCACTGATACAATGGGCTGGTAAAAATGAGGTGGTCTAATCATTTTGACACTATTAATTGAATGTGACACTATTTCTTTATCGATAAACACGTTCATAATAAAATGTGCTTTGTGTGTGTGTGTGTGTGTGTGTGTGTGTGTGTGTGTGTGCCATTGGAAATGTTGGGGATGGGGCCGGCGGTTCCCCCGGGTCCGTGGGGAGTCGTGGCTCGGGGAGATAAAAGCGGATCGGCTTCTGGTCACATCAGATAAACGAGCAGAGCATCAACGGTGACATGCTATCAGAGTACATTCAGTAGAGCATAAATGGTGGCAGGTACATCCTAATAACGGATTTTTAACACATTTCAAAACACTTTGCGAAAGTAGAAAATAAGCGCATTTAACCAAATGAGCAGGATGATTGAAGCATAGATAGATAGATAGATAGATAGATAGATAGATAGATAGATAGATAGATAGATAGATAGATAGATAGATAGATAGATAGATAGATAGATA